TTTTGATTGCAATTCTGAGAGAAAAAATAATCCTCAAAATACCCCTCGAGTTTCAAAATGAATCGGGTATTTCACAAGATACTTACGAAAATTTCTATACCTCCCTTAGATTGAGAGATATTATTCGAAAACTCAGCTAAGAGCGAAGTAGACTTAAACCGTTGGACCACTTCGCTACTGAAATTTTTACTGCAAAAAATGGATAGTCATAAATGAATAAATCAGTAGAGTTCGATTATTACGGATCATCATGTATCCAGGAATTGAACAAAACTCTGCAAAACCCAGTTAAAACTCCAATTATGAATGAATTAAAGTAAACGAAAGGAGAAACAAAAATGCAACATACTCATGTGACTTTGCAGGTACAAAAAGCAGCCCCTCTGGCTAATCCGGCGCTACTTCGGTGAAAAAGTGGCCCTGTACTACGCCTGGTTGGGTTTCTACACTCGCTCTCTCTACCTCCCAGCAATAGTCGGTCTCCTGTGCTTCGTCTACGGCCTGAGCACGATGGAGAGTGACGACAACACTCCCAGCCAAGAAATCTGCGATCCCGAGAAGGCAGGGAACATCACTCTGTGTCCCCTGTGCGACAAAGCCTGCTCCTACAGAAGGCTCAAGGAATCCTGTCTCTTCTCGCGTCTCACCTACCTCTTCGACAACCCAGCGACCGTCTTCTTCGCCATCTTCATGTCCTTCTGGGCGACGAGTTTCCTCGAGCTCTGGAAGCGGCGACAGGCAGTGATCGTCTGGGAGTGGGACCTGCAGAACGTCGACGGCGACGAGGAGCCCAGGCCGGAGTTCGAGACGTCTGTCAAAACCTTCAGGATCAATCCAGTCACCAGGGAGAGGGAGGCCTACATGCCAGCTTACTCCAGGATCTGGAGATACTGCGTCACAGGATCCCTCGTTGTCTTCATGATATGCGTCGTCCTGGGGGCCGTCCTGGGGACAATCATCTACAGAATTTCCCTCGTCGCTGTGTTCTACTCCGGCGGCGGGTTCTTCTTCGAAAAGCACGCGAAAATATTCACCTCCATGACAGCTGCCCTCATCAACTTGATAATCATCATGATCCTCACGAGGATCTACCAGAGACTGGCCAAGTGGATGGTGAACATGGAGAACCCGAGAACCCAGACGGAGTACGAGGACTCCTTCACCTTCAAAATCTTCTTCTTCGAGTTCGTTAATTTCTACTCTTCCCTGATCTACATCGCCTTCTTCAAGGGACGGTTCTACGCGCATCCTGGTGACGCCGACGCGCGATCCTCCGAGTTCTTGAGGATAAAGACCGACGTTTGCGATCCCGCTGGATGCCTCTCGGAATTGTGCATCCAACTCGCGATCATCATGGTTGGTAAACAGTGCTTCAATAATTTCATGGAGATTCTATCGCCGAAGATGGTGAACTGGTGGAGAAAGAGGACTCACGTTGCTGCAACCAAGGACCACGAGAGGCCATACACCTACTGGGAGCAGGATTACCAGCTCCAGGATCCCGGGCGATTGGCCCTCTTCGACGAATACCTGGAGATGATCCTCCAGTATGGCTTCGTCACGCTTTTCGTCGCTGCATTCCCCCTGGCACCGCTGTTCGCACTCTTGAATAACATCGGGGAGATTCGGCTGGACGCCTACAAGATGGTGAAGGAGGCGAGGAGACCTCTGGCCGAGAGAGTCGAGGACATTGGCGCATGGTATGGGATACTGAAGGGCGTCACTTATGCTGCTGTCGTCTCGAATGCTTTCGTCATCTCTTACACCTCGGACTTCATACCCCGAAGTGTTTACACTTATGTTTATTCCCCCACTGGGGACCTCCAGGGCTACATAGATCACTCACTGTCGGAGTTCAACACCTCCCACTACCGGGAGGACATGATCAGCGACAGGAATGGACCCCCCACGTGCCAATACAGGGGCTACAGGAATGGCCCTGATCACCCTGATGCTTATGGCCTCAGTCCGCAGTATTGGCACGTGTTTGCTTCTAGATTAGTTTTCGTTGTGTGTTTCGAGCACATGGTCTTCGCGCTGACTGGACTCATGAGTTATGTCATACCAGAGACACCCTCGGCCGTCTCCACCCAGCTTGCCAGGGAGAAACTCCTGGCGCAAGAGGCCAAGTACGAGAAGGGCGTCAAGGGGAGGGAGGATGAGGACGAATTGCTGGCGGTTCTCAGGGAGGCCGGCACCTTCGGCAGACCTGGGGCGCGTCGAGGGAGCTGGGCCAGGCGGTTCTCCAAACTCAGTGACACACTTGATGCACACATCGATGTGGCGGTCAGGCAACAGAGGGCTAGTGATGCGTCTACCGTGTGGGAGTCCTCCACCCACATTTCGTGAATTCGGGGGAGAATGATGCAAACTGCTGCCAAAATATATTAGAGAATTAAAACAGCGTACGAATGAATTTTATTGGAAAAGCTGTTGGATTTCTGGTGAATTTTCTAGGAGTTGACAGATTAATATTTTTCAATAAGAGAAAAACGATTGAATTTTCAAACGAATTCACTGGGGTTCTCCGTGAAATTTTTTCGTGCATGCTGTTGTTTAAGACTGTAAAGTAAAATTACTAGTCATGGGGGGAGGGTTCAGGGGTCGTTTGATAGCCTTCCTGTCGGAGACGAGCTCGTATCCCCGTACAAATGAAAATTCGTTATTCGTATGATTTTTTTTACCTTCATCCCAGTTTTTAATTGGAATCCGAGATTCTCTCCTTCGATTCTCTTGGTTGACTGCTGCTGAGAGATGAGATAATTAAGTATTAATTTTGTAATGAGGACTGACAAGATACACTCGCGTACACCCCCGAACTATTGCTATTCTTACTATTCACCACTGTTGCATTTGACTATTTATAAATGAATCATTTGTATTACGTTATTAAAAAATACATGAGATAATTGGTGTGAATTTTGTGTGCTGTGGCTAACGATAGGAATCATGATTTTACGAATGAATTTTTAGCAACTCGTTATGATACACGATTAAACTTTTATTATGGTTTTCTTTTCCACTCTGATCGCTGTATAGACAACTGATATTAATTCGATTATACAATATTTACAATAAATCATAAAATTTACATATCTATTTTTTCATTATTCAATTACTTTTGATGTGTCGATCAGTTTCATTGATTTATAGTCTCTCCGGGTGGATTATTGGGGTGGAAATTGATAAATAAATCGCTCGACACTGAGTACTACGCAATATCATTTTTCATTCCTTTTATTTGATCATTACTTCCTCAAATAATTTCAATCATTCATGACTGTTCCTTCGTATCGACAATTATTACAATAAAAACTAGTTCGATATTGTTATATTCAATAATATGGTACATTTGCATTATCATTCATCTCTCTACAATTGATTTGTCTTATTCCAATCAATGTGGATAATTAATTTCTGGTTGTAAATTTTTATGATCATTTTAGACTTAATTTTGCACCAACTTCCACTGAACAATAAACACATCAATCTCGTCCATCCATCATTCAACATTGATTAGTCACTAAGAACGTCTAGTTTACAGTTACATACATACCCATTCAAAATTGTGTATCACAGTTTTATTGGGGACAGGGATTTGCAGGATTTTTTAGAAGGAATTTTTCATTTTGTTCTTGGCTAATATCGTTAATTTTCAACTCTTCGACGTACAAGTCATCATTCCAATCTGCATTTTATATTTTACAATTTGTTTTTTCATTATCATGCATTAAATAATTAGAATTTCGCCTCTTCTTTTGTTCAATAAAATATAGTACATTTACCTTCATTACTTTCGAATATCATTCTGGCTTATTTATGTATTTGAAATGTGTGCCATTCATTTTAATCATTTAACATTAATTTTATGTTTTCGTCTGTGAATATGGACATTGTTCTACTTAAATCTACTCTATCTAAAATGTTTGTGTTTTGCCTCTTGATGTTTTTTTCACTTCGGTTGTCTCTCTCAAAAAATTTCTAAAAATATATTGTACAAGTTGCAACAGTCAAAATAAAGATTTACGATTTTTCCTCAGAAAATAATAAACTCAAACAGACTAACCAAACCGAAATGAAAGTCCCAGGGGTTTCTGGAGATTACCTAACATTTAATTTATTCGCGGAATGTAGCCTTCATCGTATCATTTACCATGGATGTTAGGACTAAAATATTTCAATTTTCATTTTCAATTTATGGAAGATTCTCATTGTGCGCTGGTTATCATGAACATGTATAACTATATATTTTCTTTTTTCCTCCACATAAAAACGAAATACTATGTACACCTTATTTACGCCTATTTATATTATACAGACCGGAGGAAAATGGTATACAAATTGTGGTATTTACGTATACTAAGTTCCTGCATACTCCAGAGATTACCAGAATTATATTAGATGAATAATAAGTGGATGACCAACTTAACTGGGGCCAGATGGAGCATTGAAATTGAACATTGTCGTTGGGGGACGTCCGGCCAGAGGTTTCGGGGGTAGCTTGGGTGTGACAGAGCCATTCGGCTGATTCGGTGGAAGTTTAGTGGGACTGGGTCCATTGAAAGACATATAACGCTTCGGATGACTTGCACTTGTGCTCGTCCCCTCAAGATTTGAGTTTCTCCTTGCCAACAGGGCGGACGTACTTGGATTCAGAGAGCTGGGTAGTCTCGGTGGTAATGTAACTGGTGGAACATCTCTTCTGGGTGGCAGTGGAGGTGGTGAGGAGGCCCCTTCCCTCGGTGGAAGCATTGGAGCATTGGGTGCCTGTCTGGCTTGATGAGGAGATTCACTGATTGAGCTCTCTCGTCTCCTGTGATGTCTGGGGGGTAGTGGAGGGGGCGGTTTACTGGGGGATGCATGACTGGGCGAGGGTGGAGGCGGGAGAGGAGCCCCGGGACTGCCAGACGACGAGGAAAGCCCCGTGAGGGCGCCCATCACCCCAATTGCACCTGAATTGAAGCCAAAATGAGTTGCCTGAGGCTGCTGATGATACGACGAAGGCAGGTGCCCAGGGGAGCCCAGTTGTGGGCTGTTCCCTGGAGATCCTAGAGACAATCCTGACATACTCAGAGGCCCTGGAGAGCCCGGGGGAGGCCCAGAGCCACTGCCCAGAAGCACTGGTGCAAACACACTGTGATCACCAATGTGCGTGAAACTCTGGATTGTGTGAGGGCTCTCTGGCAACTCTGCATGCACCTCGGGTGTCGGGTCGTGCAGTCTCACACTGGAGGCAACGGCCTGCAGAGGAGCTGGCAATTTTCCACTCAGGGACCTTGGCTTCAGCCCTGGAGACTTTAAATTCAAGTCTGGCCATTTTCTTGGGGCTCTCAGGGGCTGTCTGCACCCCCTCGGCTCCAACTCGAGACTCTTCTCGTACAGGTAAGTACTTATGTCTGCTTCACTCATGTTCGCGTCGAAGGGACACAAATTCTCGATGAAATGTCGTATTCTTGGCTCAACTGAGAGGCAATAGGGCTGATTCTGGTACTGCTGGATTTCACCTGTTATTTCAGCAACTTTCCTTCGTTTACTGAAGTTTATCAACTCTGGACTGCTCGGCAAATAGTCAGAGTTTCCCGTCTCTATGTGAAGGATATTCGTCAGGTACATTCCGAAGAAAGGCACGCAGGGGGGATTTATCGATCGAAGTTTCTCCTGGTATTTGCGGAAGTGATCGCTGTTCAATTCTCGCGCCTCTTCCAGGACCTTTGCTTGACGCTCGGAGAGACGTTGAAATGTGTGCTTCAGGCGAAATACCGCTGCTGAACCCATTGCAGACACTATCGCTAGAACTCCGTTGAAATTGTTGAGCTCTTGCAGGACCATCATCACTTCGACTGCTCGTGCAACTATTGCCGCACGTTCTTCGATGTTCTCAGTTTCCAAAATTGTTTTTTCAAGCCATCGCGTGAAATTCGTCGTGTGCTTTATCATTCTCAAGAGGTTTGGCGAATTCTTGTCCTTGTCTTTCTTCGTCCAGGCTTCACCCACTAGTTCCGACGATTTCACTGTTCTGTATAGCTCGAATTCGAGGAGTGTCAGTTGTCTCGCCAATTCGATGGGATGGAGAGTGAGTATTCCCCATTCTTCCTCTGGCACTTTGAGATGCCACTCGATTGGTGGCGGGGACTTTTCGAAACTGAAGGTAATGGGCCTCTGCTCAGAGGGCTCGCACTTCCTCTGCACTATTTTAATGACCGAGTCAACCCACTTCCTCATGGATTTACCGCTGATCGTGTCCAGAAATTGCTGGAGTCTCTCCAGTAAATTTCTATCCCTCTCGAAATCGTAAAAATGATGGTCCACCCAGTGCCTCAAAACATTGAGCACTCGAAATTGCACAGGTTGGCAGAATTCTTTTCTATATCGTTTCCAGTCTTCTCTGGCTGTGGCTTTGCATCCGGAGGGTTTCTCCTCGTCGCCGTAGACCAACGACGGGTCTGGTATGTCAAATCTCTCGATGAGCAGAATAAGCAACTCTTGGGGTGAGCAAAAACTCCTATAAGTAGTAAGGAATGTCCGTACAAATGCCGGATCGGCATAAATGTGATAAGTGAGTCTCTCCACTAATTTAACAAGTGTAGCGCCCTTGATCAAGGGAACTCCCCCATTTTCCCTAGCCTCGAGGACAACATTCTCCGGTGAATCTTGTTCAGCAAATTTGTACAACTCTGGGGGAGGCAGCCTCAGTGGATGCTTCCTCTCCTCGTCCAGCAGTATACTGTCCAATGTTCTCTCCAGCATGCTTTTGGTGTTGAGCATAACGAGATCGGCCATCCAGCTGTTTTTATCCTCAACAGATTTAGCGACAAGTGTGACATTGGGATGATCTCTGGGGGCAATTTCAAAGGCATTCTTCAGCTCGTCGGTGTCCTCGCGATCAATGATATCGACTTTTCGTATGAAAAATCGTTCCTTGAGTCTGAGTTCAACGGGGTGAGCTTGTCCCCCACCGACCCCCACAGCAGCAACCGAAACACTGACCCTCTTCCCTCCAGATGGCTTACAAAGCACCAATAGTCCATCGAAGAGCAAGGCCCTCCTCTCAGTCAAACGTCTGCCATTGCTCCCCACTTTTCCCAACATATCTTCGCGTATAAACTCATTGCAACACTGTCCAATGTCCCTCTGATCCCACCCATCAACTGTTTTCTGGAGTTCACTGGTCTTCTCCAGGGCTGCATGCCTCCTAGCACGACTCTGCATTCTCAATCCAGTATCTTTCTTCGGTAAACTCGCAACAGACTGGAGTAATTCCATTTGCAGTGGCCTCAGAAGACCCTGCACTTGCTCTAAGGTTTCCTCATCCTCAATGTTTGGTGTTCTCTTCTGTAATACTTTAATGTAATCAAAGTACAAAAAACAGTGCCACACTGGTTGCAATAGCAGCTTTGGGAGGTAATATTTAACAGCCTCCTTGAAGCCATGACCTGCTGCGCGCAGGGCAGCATTGGCCTCAGGTCTAGAGAGTAATCTCGTTAGAATTTCCCTGCTACCTGGGCTGTTCATGTCTCTGGCGTATTTAATGTAAACATCGAATTCAGCTGCCTCAGCCAGCTCCTCGAAGCACGAGCCCACTGTTGGAATTTGTTTCTCCTCAGTTATCTCCATTATGTCCTCTAAACTACCCAGAAGTGTCACTGTCACTTCGTAAATGTCCATTATATTGCTGAACAGTGTCTCCAGCTCGGTTTTGTCCTGCGCAAGTTTCGCTATTTCTTCTCGAAATACTTTTATTATCATGTGGAGATCGCGAAGGTAGTGACGTTCGTCGTGAATGAGATCGCGTACTGATTCTTCGTACGTTTGGGATACAACAGCACCCAGGGTACTCTGGGGCCTCTCAGTTGCATCGTCCTGGTAGAACATGTCCATCAACACCTGTTGGAAGACAACAATCAGACATTCATCGGTAATTTATTTTCACTCTGTCTCACGTACGAAAAATTTTCGCAGAGCATCTGACGGACTCGCTAGGGAATTCAATTGAATTCAACGGGAATGTTCGATGCAAAAGATTTCTGCAGACAGAGTACGATGTCTCTGTAAAATTTTTCGCAAGTGCTGTTGTTCAGATATTTTGACAATTTTCATTACGAAATGATCTACGCCTTTGATGCAGTGATGATGAGCTCTCTTTTTTTCAAGTGATGATGATTGTTCATGGCATTATGGTATGGACCAATTTATTACTGATGATTTCAGTTAGTAAGCGATGAAATTATGATAATGGGATTTGGACGGACGCTAGTACATACCACCTGCAACTGCACGAAGAACGAGCATGGGTTGGTGTTGTTATATGTTAGTGGAAAGCATGTAATCAAGCAGAGAACATATGCAGCCACCAATTAGCACGTTGAGACTATTTTTCTAGCGTTTAACCGATTGGGATTTTTCATTTTTTTGGAGACAAAGTGGGAATAATTCTGCTCTGTTTCTACATTCTTGATTTCTTAATGTGCCTAGATATCAACTGAAGCCATGATTTACGATAAACAATTTAAACATTAACTTCACTGGGAGTTTAGTATTTATTGGTTCTCCACTTTTTGTTGAATAAATGTGCAGCGATTTTTAAACAAATACAAGCTAAAAATCATAATTAAAAACTCCTGCTCCTCCTGATCATTATATAATTAGTTTTTCATACGTATTTAAAATGATTCCAAATGGACATTACAGTGCGTAATTCCCAGGAGGAGAAGGATTTTTTTATATCAATGCAGGCGGTTGGAATAATAATTCAATTAAAATCAATATTGTTATTAAAAATTGTTGGATTTTATTTAAAATAAAATTTATTTACCATATCTGCATACATAGCCACTCTGATGTCCTCGCAGGAGATTTCAACGTGTCGAATATTTTTTACATAATTTCCAGCCAACTGAAACCAACAAATAGTTCACAATTTCATTTCTTCAATAAAACCAATTGATTACTTCATGAGTTTTCAATGAATATCTCGCAATCTAAGGCAGATAGCAAAATTTATGTTATGACCTTTTCGGTAGAGCACACTAAGAGCTTCAAAAAAGATAAATACAAAAATTTCGCTATCTCCCTTAGATTTTGAGATATTCCTCGAAAACTCAGCTAAGAGCTAAGTCGACTTGAACTGTTTGACCACTTCGCTACTGAATTAATTCTCAAGAATGAGAGGTGTTTATTCACCTTCAAAATATCTGCTGAAATGTACTCAAGCACTCCAACGACAAAGAGACTGACTTGTGAATCGATTTTATGCTGCAAGACCTCCTGAAAAGATGAAAAAATCAACAATTGAAGACTAAGAAATCGAACAGGATGAAAAAACAAAGAATGGAGATTTGTTTCATCACCTTCTGGAGCAATTGGTGGATTTTGTCGACAGGCAGAACCAAAGGTGACTTTTTCTTCCCCTTTTCCAGTGCGTCTCTGGCGTCTCTGAGTGCCCACCTGTCGATTGGCGTTGGAAATGTCCTTCTGACTCGCTCTTCGACATCCTGAGGTGTGTGAGGTGGTGGATGACCACACAGCATCCCAAGCATCCTCAGAATGAGGCTCTCTACGTAATCCAGGGCATCCTGACGTGCCTCCAGGCTCGGGTGCACCTGTTCAAGGACCTGAATGCCAAATAAATTTTGAGAATTTTCATTTGGCTGTTTTTGAAAAGCCATTTTGTGCATTTCAAATACATTTTGAAAATGCAAAGAGCAACAGATTATTGACGTCAAAATGTTCATCGAAGGATTTTGAAGGAGTCAATAGAGATAATTCAACAATGAACAGAACAAATGCAAAGTGAGGAAGATTGAACAGTAAAACCATTGAAAACCCCAGCCACAATCAATTATTATCTGGGTTTCTAACCTTTCTCAGGGAATTGACAAAGACTCCCTTCCATTTGGCAGCATTCTCCTCTTTCTGAAAGTCGTAGCCTGACGGCTCGCCCACTACCGACGCCGGAGACGAAAACATATCCACAAAAACAAACAGAATAACGAAAAAAGAAAAATAAAGAAAAAAAGGGAAGACAACGAAATTCACTAAATGTTTAACATTTATCAGTGTTTGTGGACAGTTCCTCAGAAAAATGTCCGTCCACAGGGGTGACGGTACGTCTCGTGGACTTTTATGATAGTGACAATATCATCAACTAGCATCGTCGTTAAATCTATTTTACTCGATAATTAAATTAATAATCACTGGGAGGTGATATTAGTGGACATTTGTCCCACTCTGGCGCTCGAATTGCCCACTGGAGATGACGGATTGTCTTTCATCTTCGTTGGAGCATAACTTTTTTTTCTCCTTCCAAATAGAAAATTACTCGGAAGATATTGTATCAATTATTTTCTTATGTCCGTTTTATGGAAATTGCGGAGATTTCGCTGAGAGTCTGTTTCGCCTTTTTATTGTTCTACTGCAGCCCTTGGAGCTGACTACAAATCCCCACGAGAGTTTTTGGGTATTTTTTTTTCGAGTTCACCCTCGTTCAAGTACCATCGTGCACGTACATAAACCGATAAACGAGCAATACTCGGGTTCGCACATCTTACGACGCAAACGTGTTATTCTTCATACTTTTTTGTCCCCCCCTTTTATTTTGCCTGCTCTACCGCAGTCGTTTCACATTTTATACGTTGTGTACATAAACAGTCGCACCGAGTTTTATTAATTCTATTTGTTAACATTTGCATTTTTCTTTTTGCAATGTTTCGCACACACTTGGAACACTGTCTTTGGACCCGTTGCGATCGCTGTCTCTCACTCTCACTCGGGTTTGACGATATGTTTTTTTTTCTTCGGGGCTTTTTTTTCGCTCGTGCTGGCTGAATTCCCCTTGGGCTCGGGGGGCAAGTGCTGCTGCACTCAGCAAGTGCTGCAAGGTAGTGGGCAGGGAAGCAGGACAAGTGTTTCTGAGATTGCTTCATCATTAACTGGAGGTAAGCTGCCGACGGCTGCTCATCTTTTCGAAATTAGCGGAGGTTGGGGTAAAACGGACACTTTTGACTTTTTTTAAATGTTAATGAGGGGTTGAAATGTTGATAAAATTTTCCAATTTTTTTTTCAATACAAAGAACAATTCTTTCCCTTTGTGACGAGCCTAAACTGAACTCAATTGATCAATTTGTTTCTGCGTTATGAAAATTTTTAGAAAAGTCTAAAGAGTTCGTTTCACCCTACCCTACATCTCTTTGGGCATTTAAACAATTTTAAGAGGTTTTAAATCACTGAAATTGGGTTTGCGATGGACACGAGTTTTTATTTCAACGAGTCAAGAAAAATGGGTGAGATCTGGGCGCATGAATTTTCCCAGTCTCTTTATTCCATTTTTGCTCTCTTCATCAAAAAAATTGAAGAAACAAAATTGAGCTGAGGAATTTCTATAGAAAGCATCTCAATAAAATTTGTTGGCTGGGAAAATTGAATTTTATCAATTTTGTCGGTCGGTGAATTTTTCTTTAAGGGGTTTTTCATACGTATTTAAAATCTTTCCAAATGGACATTACAGTGCGTAATTCCCAGGAGGAGAAGGATTTTTTTATATCAATGCAGCCGGTTGGAATAATAATTCAATTAAAATCAATATTGTTATTAAAAATTGTTGGATTTTATTTAAAATGAAATTCATTTACCATATCTGCATACATGGCCACTCTGATGTCCTCGCAGGAGATTTCAACGTGTCGAATATTTTTTACGTAATTTCCAGCCAACTGAAACCAACAAATAGTTCACAATTTCATTTCTTCAACAAAACCAATTGATTACTTCATGAGTTTTCAATGAATATCTCGCAATCTAAGGCAGATAGCAAAATTTTTGTTATGACCTTTTCGCTAGAGCACACTAAGAGCTTCAAAAAAGATGGNCCCCCTTTTATTTTGCCTGCTCTACCGCAGTCGTTTCACATTTTATACGTTGTGTACATAAACAGTCGCACCGAGTTTTATTAATTCTATTTGTTAACATTTGCATTTTTCTTTTTGCAATGTTTCGCACACACTTGGAACACTGTCTTTGGACCCGTTGCGATCGCTGTCTCTCACTCTCACTCGGGTTTGACGATATGTTTTTTTTTCTTCGGGGCTTTTTTTTCGCTCGTGCTGGCTGAATTCCCCTTGGGCTCGGGGGGCAAGTGCTGCTGCACTCAGCAAGTGCTGCAAGGTAGTGGGCAGGGAAGCAGGACAAGTGTTTCTGAGATTGCTTCATCATTAACTGGAGGTAAGCTGCCGACGGCTGCTCATCTTTTCGAAATTAGCGGAGGTTGGGGTAAAACGGACACTTTTGACTTTTTTTAAATGTTAATGAGGGGTTGAAATGTTGATAAAATTTTCCAATTTTTTTTTCAATACAAAGAACAATTCTTTCCCTTTGTGACGAGCCTAAACTGAACTCAATTGATCAATTTGTTTCTGCGTTATGAAAATTTTTAGAAAAGTCTAAAGAGTTCGTTTCACCCTACCCTACATCTCTTTGGGCATTTAAACAATTTTAAGAGGTTTTAAATCACTGAAATTGGGTTTGCGATGGACACGAGTTTTTATTTCAACGAGTCAAGAAAAATGGGTGAGATCTGGGCGCATGAATTTTCCCAGTCTCTTTATTCCATTTTTGCTCTCTTCATCAAAAAAATTGAAGAAACAAAATTGAGCTGAGGAATTTCTATAGAAAGCATCTCAATAAAATTTGTTGGCTGGGAAAATTGAATTTTATCAATTTTGTCGGTCGGTGAATTTTTCTTTAAGGGGTTTTTCATACGTATTTAAAATCTTTCCAAATGGACATTACAGTGCGTAATTCCCAGGAGGAGAAGGATTTTTTTATATCAATGCAGCCGGTTGGAATAATAATTCAATTAAAATCAATATTGTTATTAAAAATTGTTGGATTTTATTTAAAATGAAATTCATTTACCATATCTGCATACATGGCCACTCTGATGTCCTCGCAGGAGATTTCAACGTGTCGAATATTTTTTACGTAATTTCCAGCCAACTGAAACCAACAAATAGTTCACAATTTCATTTCTTCAACAAAACCAATTGATTACTTCATGAGTTTTCAATGAATATCTCGCAATCTAAGGCAGATAGCAAAATTTATGTTATGACCTTTTCGCTAGAGCACACTAAGAGCTTCAAAAAAGATGGATACGAAAATTTCGCTATCTCCCTTAGATTTTGAGATATTCCTCGAAAACTAGCGAAGAGCTAAGTCGACTTGAACTGTTTGACCACTTCGCTACTGAATTAATTCTCAAGGATGAGAAGGCGCTTTATTTTCCAAAATTTTTGAACAAATTTCCTGCTCAAAGTTATCGCTATTTCAGAAAATCGATGCACATTAATCTCCAGGAGGTGATGACGAAGATCAACGTGCTTTGGGTTAAAAAAATATGAATAATTTCGAACAGGAAATGTTTCAAAATTTCGAGAAAACGCTGGCCTTCTGTTACCCCTTAATACCCCTTCAATTCAAAAGGTCTTCATCGAAGCTATGAACTCCAAAAGGAATTCCACCGTGAAATCTCCGTGTTTTAATTTTTCGAATGACTCATAACAATGAAAAATAAATTTCCCCGAGTGAATCGATAGAGTTCACCCCAGGGGGTTCGAAAAGCACGTGTCAAAGGGCGTGAAAAAAAAGTCCTGAAAACAAAAATAGTTGGCAAACGGATGGTGATCGGGCCGGTTGAGCTGCCATGGGGCGTTATAGCAGAGCAATTCTCCCCCCTGGGTTTTGTGCATGACAGCTGGCAAGTTCAACACTACGGAATAGATTCGGGATAATACGCGTCGAGAAGTGACGACCGGCGTCGCACATGCGCGTCCCCTCGAGTGAGCTCGTCGGCTCGACCGATTTCGATTTTAGTCATTCCCGGGTTCGGCGAGGTGGAATCGTTGTTCCACGATACAACGCCAATAAAACATTCTGTCCGACTGTTTGGCCGTCAGTGGATTAATTTCTTCCACTTTATACTCGATCTCTGTGCATCGTCCTCGGGGCATAACGTCTGCAGACGATCGGAGCGGATCAGGAACGTAAGTTCGTGGCAATTTTGTCGCTTTTGAGTTTGCCTGACGATTCGCAACTGGAGAGCCACCGTGCGATCTACAGTTGCGCATTTTTATTCCCAATTTTTTTTATTTCGCTCTTCGTGGACCCTGCAAAACCCCTGTGGACTCGGTCGGTCGATATATAACACGCGCAGCGTCCTCTCAACTAGACTCACTCGGTGGAATGTTTTTTGCGTTAAATGGACCAATTTAATTAGCGAGAAATCAATTTTTGTTTTGATTTTCAGGTGAAACGAAAATTATTTCGATATCTTCTCCATTCGTTGTGTGGCCAGTCTTCTGCTGGTCTCCCATTCAATTTTATAATTTTTTCCATTTGAGGGGAGTAATTTTAATTGAACAATTACTAATTGTTTCGATGACGATATTCGTTAAATATTTATTACATCGTACAGCATTTTTTTAATTCTCGTTTTTCGGGGAAAATATTCCCTTCGTTTTTGCTCCTCCGTTGGAATTAATGAGCGCTAAATTTATGCCACTTGTAATATATTCTCGTGGTTGATCTTTCAGCACGTGGATACATAAATATTCTCATGGGGCTCTTTAACTCACAACAGAGAACTGAATTACCGATGTTTTTCAGCGGGATTCCCCAGAGCTTTTGAATAATTAAACTTTTCTCATTGAGTTGCAAAATTCGTTTTCTCCGTTGGTTTTGTTTCACCGCGGATTATCCCCCGGTTTTTTATGGAACTAGTGCACGGGGAGTGCTGGATATTCCACGCTCCCAAGAAATTGCAGTGATGGACTGATAATAATAATAGGCAATGAAGCAGGGGATTGTGGGGTAAAATGGGCACTTTTCAATTTTTTGAAATGTTCGTGACGTGTTGAATTGCTCATAAAACAGAATAATGTTATTTTTCAATTGAAAGAACAAATATTCCCCTTTGTGATGAGCTTAGACTGAGCTCAGTTGATGAATCTGTTTCTGAATTATGAACATTTTGAAAAAAGTCAAAAGTGTCCATTTTACCCCACTCTCCCCTATACCAACTAGTCATTTTTAAAAACGATTGAAGTCGACTTCGCTCTTAGCTGAGTTTTCGAGGAATATCTCCGAATCCAAGGAAGATAGTGAAATTATCACAATTACCTTTTTTGTAGCTCTCAATTTTCTCTACAAAAAAGGTTATAACAAAAATTTTACTCTCTCCCTTCGATCCCGAGATAGTCATTGAAAACTGATCAATAGTCAGAATGGACTTCGCTATTGAATCAAAAAACTTTGTAACTAATGAAGTATTTCAGGAAAAAATGAAGCAATGCCTGGCATTTCAGGGGCGAAAGAGAAGTCTGAGGGAAGTCTGAGGGGAACAAGAGCGACAATGAAGCAGGAGCCTGACGAAGAGGATTACTACTCGGAGGAAGGGAAGTCTGGCTCGCAGGGACACGCGACGAAACGCAGGTCTCATGCCAGAAGCCTGAGGGCAATGGCCAATCCAAGTGCTGTTTGGGGACACTTTGATCTCTGCACTAATGACCCTTTGAGGGCTCAGTGTCGTCTGTGTGGATCTGTTGTTGTCAGAGGCGGGGCCAATCCAAGGCAGTGCGGGACCACTAATCTCCATCGGCATTTGAGGGTTCATCATGGGGGGAGACTCATTGGGAGGCGATACCACGGTAAACGTTTTTCCAGCATTCTCTTACAAAAAGATATTCTTTAACTTCATGATGATGACTTTATGTAGGGAAGGGTAGGCTAAAATGGACATTAGACTTTTTTTAAATTGTTCATAACTCAGAAACAAATTTATCAATTGAGCTCAGTTTAGGCTTGTTACAAAGGGGAAGAATTGTTCTTTGTAGTGAAAAAAAAATTATCAAATTTCATCGAAATTTCAACCCCTCATTAACATTTCAGTAGCGAAGTGGTAAAACGGTATAAGTCAATTTTGACTATTGACCAGTTTTCAATGAATATCTCGGAATCTAAGGGAGATGGCAAAATTTTTGTTATAATCTTTTTTATAGAGCCGACTGAGAGCTGCAACAAATGTAATTACGAAAATTCCGCTATCTCCCTTAGATTCCAAAATATTCTTCAAAGACTCAACGGGGAGATAGTCGACTTAAACCGCTTTACCACTTCGCTACTGATTTAAAAAAAAGTCAAAAGTGCCCGTTTTACCCCGACCTCCCCTATTAATTTGAGATGTCTTTTTATTTTTTTATTCTTTTAACAATTCGGGAATCATGTAGGAAGTTTTTCGATTTTTCAAACATTTAATTGAAATTATGAATTGAAATGCACATGATGATAGAAAATTTCGAGGAATTAATTTGAAAATGCCACCGCTTATCTGCGTGTCTCTCTCAATCGAAATGTTCAATAGAAAAAGTTGTGTAGAGAGATGAAATTCTCCTGAAATAATTTCTATTGAACTATCATTTCAGTAGCGAAGTGGTAAAACGGTTTAAGTTGACTTATCTTCCAGTTGAATTTTTAAGGAATATTTCCGAATCTAAGGGAGCTAGCGAGATTTTTGTTATATCCTTTTTTGTAGAGCCGATCGAGGGCTACAACAAATGTAGTTACGAAAATTTCGTTATCTCCCTTAAACTCGGTAATATTCCTCAAAAACTCAACTCGGAGATAAGTCGACTTAAACCGGTTTACCACTTCACTACTGATTTCTTTGCGTCCGCGTACATCGAAATGAAAGCGAAGAATGAAGGAAAAGAAAATGAACTTTAAGAGTCGAGTTTTAAAATGAAATCAATGAGTGCAGAAATATAGAGAAAAAAAATATAGAGTGGAAAAATCGGCATTCACAACAACATTTGAAAAAGTTTTCAAGGATTGCAAAAGCATTCCGGATGTTGCGGAGATAAAAAAAAGCTCGTTATCTAACCGGTGACGTTGAAAAAAATATGCGGCAGATGCGCACATTGCGACTGCTCTATTTTGCGCACTACTGGCACTATCGCGCATGCGCATTGGAGCTAAACTGGGCCGCAGGGCACACATCGCGTCTCTGTGGCCACAGTCGTTGCGAGATACCATAAAGTCCGCCATTACACGAGTGTTGTGTTACTTTTCCGAAGAGTTGCGTGCTCTACATCAAGACTGAACAGAAACATTCGAAAATGTCCAATTACCAATCTGACAGCGCCGAGATGGGCGATCTGCCCGGATCGTCAGACACTGGTGAACCGGGTGAAATCATCACGGAGAATACATTGCTCTCTAAATCGAGGGAAAAATACCAAGCGATTTACAAGAAATTCACGAGCTGGAGGGAGACTAACAACAAGGGTCCGCTGTCACAGGAAGTTTTGTTGGATTTCTTCGTTGAACTCTCGGAGAAAATGAAACCGTCTTCCCTATGGTCGCACTACTCAATGTTGAAACATACCATAAACAGTAATGACAAGATTGACATCAGTTTCTACAAACAATTGAATGCTTTTTTGAAACTACAGTCGACTGGATTCAAAAGTAAACAGACCAAGGTTTTGACGCCTAACGACATTGAGAGATTTTTGAATGAAGCACCGGACAATCAGTTCTTAGCAACAAAGGTAATCGAAGATTACAACTGCAAATAAAAATTAATTGTTGACTCTTTGTTATTCACGTGATTTTTTCAATTATAAGAGAGGAAAAATAGCGCAATTACTGATTTTTTCTATAAAATAGTTTTTATTCAACATTTTCTATTAAAAAAATGCCCAGTAAAGCTGCAAAATTCCTCAGAATCGGCCAAAATTTAATAGAATTTTCAATAAAAGTCCAATAGAAATCCAGTCTGACTGAAATTTTTCTCGCGTAGAAACTAAAACTTGACACCAAGAAAAAAAAAGTATAGATCAATGCTTTACTTAGAAAATTGTGGTCTTGGGGCTTTTGAAGACTCCACGTGAGTGATGAAGGATCCCTCTTGAAAGCTCATTGAATTTTATTCCAACATCTTCCACATTACAACAATTTAATTTACAGGTTGCACTGATTTTTGGAATAATTGGAGCCTGTAGAAGACAAGAGCTCTGCAACGTAACAATGGATGACATAGAGGACGACGGTGTAATGGCCTTCGTGACAATTCCAAAAACCGAAAGCGATCCCGAGCGTTCATTCACCATTTGCGGGGAATTCTACAACATGTACAGGAAGTACTTGAAGCTACGACCTAGGAACGTGGATACCAAGAGATTCTTTGTTAATTATCAGAATGGCAAGTGCACACATCAAGTCATTGGGATCAACAAATTTGGCAGTATGCCAAGGACAATTGCTTCATACCTGAAATTGCCGAATCCAGAGAGCTACACAGGTCACAGCTTTCGTCGTACTTCAGCAACACTGCTCGCTGATTCTGGTGCAGATCTGGCCACCCTCAAACGCCACGGGGGATGGAAATCGAAGGTGGCAAGGCACTTCATCGAGTATTCCAAGGAGAAAAAACGAAAGATATGTCAGCAGATAACAGAGTCTGTTGTTTTGAGGCCATCAACATCTGCTTCCACATCGAAGGAAGAGCCTGAGGTGCCTAAGGCACCATCAGAACTGCCAGAGCAGTCGGCAGACACTGATGATCCACTGTTCGTCGACTGCAGTTTAAATATTAAAGAGGAGAACACCTCGATGGAAACAGCAGATGAAGTGACTGACCCAGAACCAGAATCAGAACCCAGCGAGCCTGCATCTGTTGGTATGACAATCCTGAGGCTCCACTGACAAAAAAAAAGATAATTTTTAAAAGAAGAAATTAATTGACTCAATTGTGCTCCTTCCTTCCAACTTTACCACGTGAAATCATTCATCTACTCTGGAATTAATTATTTTTCTTTTTGTCAACAGTCATGCAGTCAAATTCTCAGAGCAACTCGTCCCCGAAATCTCTGAAGGCGCCGAGCCAACCAGTTCGCCCCCAGTTGAGGAACATCGCTCCTGCACCTTCCTCTCAACAAAAGAATGCCTCTAAAACGCTGGTCCTGAAGACAATTCCACTGAAGATGAAGCAAGTTGCTCCTACGACTATAAAGATGTTACCGAGGCAACAGCCGGTTCGAGTGCCACAGAATGTCGTCCCCCAACAGCCGGCTGAGGTAAAAAATCATCGTCTCCAGTAGTAAAATGAACACTTTTGACTTTGTGACTCCATGAGAACATTCAATCTCTTTCCAGGTATGCCTGAGGTGGAACAGTTACCACAGCAACATGCAGACCAGTTTCCCATCCCTCCTGGACTCTGAGGAATTCGTCGATGTGACTCTCGCCTGCGAGGGCAAATCTGTCAAGTGCCACAAAATCATTCTCTCGTCGTGCAGTGATTACCTAGCTGCATTGTTACGTGAAAATCCCTGTCAACATCCAATTATTCTGATGAAGGATCTGAAGTTCTGGGAAGTCGAGGCATTAGTTAAATTCATGTATAAAGGGGAAGTGAACGTCGCTCATGACAAGTTGCCACAGCTTCTCAATGCAGCTGAGGCACTCCAGGTTAAAGGATTGGCTGGTCCCACTCCCCCACAGGTGAATAAAGTCATTTTAGTTTTAAGGCCTGTGTACTATCTTTCGAATGTTATCTGGATTTTTTTTCTTTCGTAATCCAAAATTATCAATTGGGTGGTACATCATGTGGAAATTCCCAAAAATTATGATAGAATGATGAAAAAAAATTGAAAAAATTCTGAACTTTTTCAAAGAGCGTTTTTAATTAAAATTCAGAATGAGTTGAAAAAAGTGGAAATTACAAATATCTGATTTGCTGTGGCAAATTATCTATTCGCTGTCTTTTTTCCATGGTGGATAACAAAACACTAACTGCTCATGGGAAGTGACAGCTAGGTATCTCAAGTTTCAAAACAGGGGTATGTAGCCATCTGCCATTTTTATGTGATAAAAGTGTGATTACAAAATTCTCCAAAATATTACAACTTTTTTCAAGGAGCCTTTTCCGTAATAAATGTCTCTGTGCAGTGTGGGAGATCTACGAAATCAGTCTTCTCCCTGCATGATATTGGGTGACAGGCCGCCATTTGTCACCGTAAATCAGATACATTTTTCAATTTCTTGTTATTCAACTTACTCTGAATATAAATTAAAAATTCTCTTTGAAAAAATAAAGAATTTTTTCCCCTTTTTTTTATTATTCATTCATAATTTTGCAAAACTTCTGCATCATGCAGGACTCAATTGACAATTTCAGATGGGCGAAAGATGAGAAAAAACATCGAGGTAACGTTCGAAAGATAGCACACCCGGGCCTGAATTCCTCTTTTTTATTCTTGAAATGATGCAATAAAAATGAATGATAATGAATGAATGAGTTAAATAATGTAAATAACAATTGTTTCCTTCGCAGGGTCAGAAGCCTCCAATGTTGATTCCCAAAGCGAGACTGCAGTCGTCAACCCCAACACCTCCAAAGCCTTCCGAGCCTAAAGAACAAAAAGCACCCACGAATTTCTCATCAAAAGCCCAATCTAGTCCGAAACGTGGTACGAAGCGTCCGATGGAGCCAAAAGACTCGAGGCCCTTCACAAAAATTCGTCTTCATCGTCCGAAGCCTTCTGCCCCCTCGCCTACGATAAAACTCGAGCCTCTGGACATCCCTTTGAGTGACGCCGACATCTTCCCAGAGACGAACGACGACAGTTCGACCACAAACTACGAGAACCTCATCACCATGCACGAGGCCGACGATCCTGGGGGAGAGGAACGCCCTGACTCTGCCGATGGTGACATACAATTTGATTTCCATGGCTCCGAGGACATCACTGACGCCGAGGAGCAGATGGAGTTCGTACCGACTGATTTTTTGGAACAGGAACATGATATTCTGGAGGAGGCAGATGGGGGAAGCAGCAGAAACAGTGTTGCCGAGGTCAGAGATGGAGATCCTGGGGCTGAAACACCTGATGATGAGGGGAAAGACGATGAAGGGGATGGAGATGGCGATGAGGACGGCGATGGAGATGAAGATACGAGTAAAAAGGATGAAACGTAGGAGGAGCAGAATTCGTAAAGATCCTCTCGTTTTTTTTTAACTCACGATGATTCAATATTTTTTGTTTTTTATGGAGCTACGAGAACTCTCTTCAGAGACTTCTGATTTTCTTCATTATTGAACATGTTTCGAAACACGTGGAGTCGAAAGTGCATTATTCCTCTAAGTATGTGAAATTTAACGAGTATTACACTCATTTCATCGACTGTTAAACGGTCTGATCAATGAGAGTTCTTCTATATTCTTGAGATCGAAGAGCAATGCATTTACAGAATACAGTCATGAGTAAACTATGTACTATCAAATTTTATATTACATAGGGTGTAATGAAAATATGTCGGAGATAATTGTTGATTAAAAATCTGTGTGACCTGTATTCAATCATGTGTTGATGTTGACGATACGTGGAGAATATATTGAGGGAATGAAAATGGATTGAAGAAAGTAAATACCTATGACAAAACTGTAATTTATTAAATTTATCTCATGAAATAAATGGCTATCAAACCTTGAAAATTGATGTTTTTTATTCGTTGAATATTTGTCAACTCGAGATGACAAAGGAAGAACTCAGCGGGGGCGTTTTATTTTTTTTACGCATTTTTATTTTATTTTTAAAATAACTGAGGTCCTCATTGTTGGCACCACTTCCACCCCCAATTCTCCTCCAACTTCAGAGTGCACGCATTTATTTACACATTTGGACCGCAATCTAAGAGATAAAACCGCAAGAAGAATAGTCCACCTCGTTGTACAGAATAATGCGTTGAGACTCTAAAATCAAGCGGAGAATTGTTTAAACTTGTGAGAGTGTAAAAAGCCTTTTGCATGGCTTAGAAAGTCGACTCAGTGTCTCTCATGTTCAACCCCTCATCAGTTCTCCTCCCTTTGAACCTAAGAAAGAGTTGTTCCAAATCTCAGAATTAGTAATTTTACTCTTCGTTCCTCCCAAAACAAGTTTAACAAAAAAAAACAAAAAATGTCAAACGAAGAGTCTGACAGCAGTGACATCGAGCAGCCGATGGAGCCTGATTTCCCTGAAGCGAGCGAGCATTCAGAGGGCCAGATGAACGAATTGCCTGACAAGTCGAGGGAGCAGTATCAAAACACTTACAGAAAGTTCATCGACTGGAAAGATATGAACCACAAGGACTCACTGGGCGAGGATGTAATGTTGGAGTATTTCAGGGAACTCGCCGACAAAGTCAAACCCCCCACCCTCTGGACCCAATTCTCCATGCTCAAACACACCATAAGCCTCTACGACAGAGTTGACATTACTAATTTCAAGAAACTGAGGAATTTTCTGAAGAAAAAATCCGTTGGATACCAGAGTAAAACGACTAAAGTTTTCACGTCCAAGGAGATTGAGAAATTCCTGAATGATGCCCCGGACAATCAGTATTTACCAGAAAAGGTTGAAAACATTTCCGTAGCGAAGTGGTCAAACGGTTTTTTTTTTGTTAAGCTTCCGAACCCCTTTCGGGCTCATTCAGCTACCAATAAATGTATTAGAAGTTATAATTACATAGTAGTAAAATATATAAATTGTAATAGTCCCTTAATGTTAGTTAATTAGTTAGTGTCTTTGTTAAACATATTTTATATCTGAATTGAACAATTTTTGAAGAATTTTGAAATAGCTTTAATGTCTTTTCTTCTGAGGGACTTCAGGATATCTTGAATATTCAGTGGTCTGGGGTGGCTCTTGCTGATCTCTTTGAGGAGTGTTTTTCTTTCTTCGACGTGTCAAAGAAAGAAAATAAGTCAATTTAATTTAGTTGAGTTTTCCAGAAATATTTACGCATTTAAGGGAAATAGCGAAATTCTCGTGATATCCTTTATTAAAGAGCGAATTGAGTGCTACTAAAAAGGTAAAGAGAAAAGTTTTGCTGTCTCCCTTAGATTTTAAGCTATTCATTGAGAGCTGGCCAATAGCCAAAATGGACTTAAACCGTTTGACCACTTCGCTACTGATTTGTCATGTGCAAAGAAATTGCAATCTTTTTCAGACTCGATTTTATAGACTTGATTCCCTAATTTGTTTACAGGTGACTTTGATATTTGGAATAATTGGAGCTTGCAAGAACCAAGAGCTCGTCAATCTAACTGTTGACGATATCGAGGACGATGGGACTATGGCACTCGTCAAGATCCCCAAGAACGAGAACAATGCTGCACGTTCATTCACAGTCTGTGGTGAATTCTACAAGATGTACAAGAAGTACGCAGTTCTGCGACCCAAGAAGGTTGACTACAAGAGATTCTTCTTGAACTATCGATATGGAAAGTGCTTCAACCAGGCGATTGGTCACAACAAATTCAACCTCATGCCGAAGCAAATTGCTGCATTCTTGAATCTGCCGAATCCCGACGAATACAAAGCCAACAGCTTTCGCAGGACTTCAGCAATGTTGCTTGCGCACTCTGGAGCTGATGTTAAAACTATTCAACGTCACGGGGGGTGGACCCCCAAGATCGCAAAGGACGTTATTGCGGAGACGAAGCGAAAGCAGATTGAATTATCAACGAAAATAACAGACTCTGTCTTTCTTAAACCGTCGACTAGCTCCAGTTCCACCACGAATTTCGAGGGGGAAGGGTCGTCGGAGGGGTCAAGCGCAGCAGCAGAAACGAAACGAGGGGAGGATCCATTGTTCATTGACTGCAGCTCTGATACAGAGGAGGAAGAGTCGTCAACCGCCCCAGGACCTGATAATTCACAAGACACAGTATTCGAGAAGACAATTGCACCTCCTGTCGTCAATCCAACCCCTCCAAGTGCATCATCATCAAAAGCAACAAATAAGGCTGCAGTTCACTCGCAATTCCCACCGACAGTTCAGCAGAAAAGACCTGGTCTGAGGACAATCCCCCAGAAGCTTCCAGAACGACCTCAAAAGGTCGTCCCACAAGAATCCTCAGAGGTCTGCCTGCGTTGGGGCCACTACCACATGAACATGCAGACCAGCTTCCCCTCCCTACTCAACTCCGAGGAGTTTGTCGACGTGACCCTTGCATGCGAGGGAAAGTCCATCAAGTGCCACAAAGTCATCCTCTCTTCCTGCAGTGATTATCTAGCCACCTTACTCCGTGAAAATCCATGCCAGCATCCTATAATTCTGATGAAGGACCTGAAGTTTTGGGAAATTGAGGCCCTCGTCAGATTCATGTACAAGGGGGAAGTCAATATTTCTCACGACAAGTTGGCAGAGCTCCTCAACGCTGCTGATGCACTGCAGATCAAGGGATTGGTTAATTCTGACCCTGCAGAGGTTGGTGAACAAGTCCTCGAGCACACCTTTCGAGATGAACAGTACTATTTTAATCCAGTCCAATTAGAATTCAGTAGCGAAGTGGTAAAACGGTACAAGTCAATTTTGAATATTGACCAGTTTTCAATGAATATCTCGGAGTCTAAGGGAGATAGCTCAATTTTTGTTATAACCTTTTTTGTAGAGCCAATTGAGAGCTACAACAAATGTAATCACGAAAATTTCGCTATCTCCCTTAGATTCGGAGCTATCCCTCAAAAACTCAATTGGGAGATGAGTCGACTTAAGGGGAGACTACCGTGAGTTTTAAAAGTCGTGGGTTATTGGAGTGAGACTTTTCATACGTTGAAGATCGATTATATAGATCTGAAAATGAATAATTAGCGCAAAAAAAAATTTTTTGTTGTTCGTTTGCCCGAAAACGCTTAAAATGCCAAAAACAGTCCAGGACCTCCAATTTTTGAGCTACGAATGATTTTTTTTCAAAATTCTCGGAAAAATATGTGGAATAACAATTACGAGCTATTTTTTTTTAATTCACCTCTTACATGGCTAAATTTGCTTTTTTGTATTTTTTTACACAAAAAGTGAATTTTTTTTATATGGAAAAAAAACTAAATCAGCTATGTAGGAGTCGAATTCCAAAAAACTGGCTCGTAATTGTTGCTCCACACATATTTCCGAAAATAAAAAAAATAAATTTTTTTTGTAGCTCAAAAATTGGAGGCCCTGGACTTTTTTTTAGCATTTTAAGCGCTTTCGGACAAACGAACAATAAAAAAATTTTTTTTTGCACTAATGACTCGTTTTCAGATCTATATAATCGATCTTCAACGTATGAAAAGTCTCACTCCAATAACCCACGACTTTTAAAACTCACAGTAGTCTCCCCTTGAACCGTTTTACCACTTCGCTACTGAATTGTTACATTACCACAAAAATTGGAAGAATCTTCGATTATAAATAACTCAAAGAAATCTGTAACCACTTGAAAATAGTGAATTGGTGTTGTTTTTACAGATGCAGAACCCTTCGGTGTCAACCCCACAGCCGTCAGTCCCTAGATGCTCTCCCGCAACTGCTCAAAAATCATCAGAACCGTCAAAACTGCCGACTAATCAAAAACGCGGTACAAAACGTGTGATGGAGTCGAACGAATTGAAACGAATGAAGTGTAAGTCACCGCGGCAGGGGCCAGAGACACCTCCCCCACGTGCACTGCCTCCAGAGATAAAGCTGGAGTCCCTGGACATCTCCTTGCCCGACGTAGACATTCTGCTGCCTAACAACGACGACAGTTCAACCTCGAATTACGAAAATCTCATGGCTGGGAACGAGGATGATCCAGGGGGGGAGGAATCCCTGGACAGTGACATGCAATTCGATTTTCATGGGTCTGAGAACATGGCTGATGTCCACATGGATCTGGAGCTGACGGAATTCCTCGGAGAGGAACACGATGAAGAGGTTGACGACGATAATGGCGAAGGGATATCTGAGGATGACCCTGGAGATGATGAGGACGACGAGGTTTGGATCGTCGAAGATGAAACGTAAAAGAGAGTCGCTTCACCTTTCGCCAATGACGAAAGAAATTTATTAATCGTTGGATATCAAAATTTAATGAAAAACATTAGTCACGTATTTTGTTATTTCGATAAATCATTCAATCGAAATGGAGAACCAGTGATTTTTCAAAATAAAATAATGCGTATAATAAAATAGAGGATGCGATTCATCAAGAGTTTTCAAACAGCTAAAAATAATCATTAGAAGTTACTATAATTATCTCCCATTCAATTTTCTATGGACCATGTGTAATTTTTTATTTACTCTGAGATAATAAAAATGCTTATAAAACGTCATCAGAAATTTGAATTCAATCTGTTTTTTTAAATACTTCGGGTTTGGTGTGAAGTTGGCTCTGAAGTGCGTTGTGATGTTGGCTGGAGTGTCTGTAGTTGCTAAGTATTCCGTTTTACAACCGCAGCGCTCGTTCCAGTTTAATTGCAATCCGATATCGTTTATGACTTTTTCACACGGTTTTTACTACTTTTGAGCAAGTGCGATAGCCGAAAAGATTATTTTCGAGAAATAGAGGAGTGGTCCGTGCTTTGGAGTTTCGTTTCTCCTTGAAGAGTGGATATTGGGCGTTGAGTTTCGAATTTCTCCAGGGGAGTAACCTCCAAGGTAACTTCCGCTCGCCCAGAATAGTTTTTTTTTATCTTGAAAGAGTACTTCAAGCTCCAGTTCTCCTGAGGAATATTCGTTGAGAGAGACTTGACGATGTCGAACGAGGGGTCTGATAGCAGTGATGTCGAGCAACCGACAGACCTGGACACCAGCGAAGGCAGTGAGCTTCCCTCCGAGAGTCCATTGCTCATGAAATCGAGGGAACAGTATCAAACACTCTACCGAAAATTCATGGAATGGAAGGAGGCAAATAACAAGGAATCACTTACTGAGGATGTCTTCATGGATTACTTCACCGATTTGGCTGAGAAAATGAAGCCATCGACACTGTGGTCCCAGTACTCCATGCTCAAAGCTACAATGTTTGCTAATGAGAAAGTTAACATAAATAATTTTCACAGATTGAGAAGTTTCTTGAGGACGAAGTCAATTGGATATAAAAGCAAAACCAGCCACGGATTCACGTCCAGGGAAATTGAAACCTTTTTGAAGGATGCCCCTGATAGTCAGTATTTGGCAGAAAAGGTACGACAATTTGTAAATTTGCCGTATTTATTTCTCCTCTTGCAGCATACTAGGGGAGGGTAGGGTAAAATGGACACTTTTGACTTTTTTTTAAATATTCATAACTCAGAAATAGATTGATCAATTGAGCTCGGTCTAAGCTCGTCACAAAGGGGAATCATTGTTTTTCAATTGAAAAATAAAATTATTCCATTTCATGAACAATTCAACACGTCGTGAATATTTCAAAAAAGTCAAGTGTCCGTTTTACCTTACCCTCCCTTATTATTTTCTGATTGATAATTAACTCGTATGCAGTAATTTACTTGATTGTATGAAATGTGAGCAAATAATTAATTTTTCACCCATCAATATTTCTCGCAGGTTTCTTTAATTTTTGGAATCCTCGGTGCATGCAGAAGCCACGAACTCGTTCACATAACTGTCGACAACATCGAGGATGATGGGATAATGGCACTAGTTACAATTCCAAAAAGCGATAGCGATCCCGAACGTTCGTTCACAATTTGCGGTGAATTTTACCAAGTGTACAAGAGATACGCACTGCTGCGACCGAAAAAAACAGACTGTCGAAGATTTTTCTTGAGTTATCGCGGTGGAAGGTGTGTAAACCAGGTCATTGGTCTCCACAAATTCGGTGGTATGCCGAGACAAATCGCAACTTTCCTGAATTTACCAGATCCCGATGGTTACACGGGCCACAGTTTCCGAAGGACTTCGGCAACTCTTCTTGCTGCGTCAGGAACTGATTACAAGACCCTGCAGAGTCATGTGGGCTGGAACTCGAAGATTGCCAGGGACATCGCCGAGGGGAAGAGGAGAAATCAAATTCGTTTGGCCAAACGGATAACAGAATCAGTGTTTTTGAAACCCTCGACATCCAAGTCGAACGACAATTCTGAGAGTCGAGCACCTGTTGAACAAGTGACCGCTGTCCCAGAACAGATACAGAGTATCGATGATCCGCTGTTTATTGACTGCAACACCACTATCAAGGAGGAGGTCTCGGAGGAGATTATTGAACCTGAAGAATTGCCACCACTAGTTACTGTTCCTCCATCTGGTGAATAATTATTTTTCTTGGAATGTAGAGAACAACATACAGACAATATTCTCAAAAAATCCTCAATTAAATCTACAGGGGAGGTTGGGATAAACCGGACACTTGAATTTTTAAAAATGTAAATGAGGGGTTGAAATGTTGATAAAATTTAATATTTTTTTTTCACTACAAAGAATTCTTTCCCTTTGTGACGAGCCTAAACTGAGCTCAATTGATCAAGTTGTTCCTGAGTTGTGAATAATTAAAAAAAGTCTAAAGTGTCCGTTTCAGCCCACCCTCCTCTAGTACTGTCAAAATTTCTCTCAACATTTTCACAAAGTACAGTATTGTAAATTTGGCGCAGTAAAATTAACAGTCAAAGAAGTAATTATCAGATTGAGATATTTATTTTTTATTTGCAGCTCCCAAGCTTAAGGTCGTCAGCAAACTACCAGGGAAGCCAGTGGTAGTTCAGCCAGCTCCTCAGCCAGTTGTCAGCCAGCCGATAAAGATTGCACCCAAGCCTGTAATTCGTATCCAGCCGAAGATTTTGCCTGCACCTCCTCCCCCGCAAAACATTAAACCGAAAAAGATTCTGCCTGGACCGCCTCCCCTCCAGAATGTTTCGACAAAGCGTCTGGTGGTGAAGACAATCTCAGTGCAAAGACCACCAGTGCCACAACCATCTTTGAACCCCCATCACAAGCCAACACCCCACCGCTCCCCAGAGGTAAGATAAAAAAAAAAAAAAGCGAAGAATTTTCTCTAACAAAAGTGTGTCTAGGTCTGCTTGAGATGGGGCTTTCACCACAACAACATGCAGACCAGCTTCCCATCCTTCCTCAACTCTGAGGAGTTCGTCGACGTGACTCTCGCCTGCGAGGGAAAGTCTGTCAAGTGTCACAAAGTCATTCTGTCCTCCTGCAGCGATTACCTAGCAGCATTACTTCGTGAAAACCCCTGTCAGCATCCAATAATCCTCATGAAGGATCTGAAATTTTGGGAAGTTGAGGCTCTCGTTAGGTTCATGTACAAAGGGGAAGTCAATATTTCTCACGACAAGTTGCCACAGCTTCTCAAAGCAGCTGATGCACTCCAGGTCAAGGGACTGGTCAATTTCACTCCTGCACAGGTTAGTGGAAGTAATCAAAGGTTTTGTTTATTTTTATTTTCCTTTGGATAACAGAATTCAGGAGCGAAGTGGTAAAACGGTAAAGTCAATTTTGGGGATTGACCATTGATTGAGTTTTCAATGAATATCTCGGAATCTAAGGGAGATGGCAAAATTTTTGTTATAACCTTTTTTGTAGAGCTGATTGAGAGCTACAACAAATGTCATTACGAAAATTTCGCTATCTCCCTCAGATTCTGAAATATTCATCAAAAACTCAACTGGGAGATGAGTCGACGTGACTCGTTTTACCATTTCGCTACTGAATTGTTTTGACTGTTACTGTTCCCATTAAAAGATGAAAAAAGACATGAATAAAAAACTCCCGTAAAATATTAAGAGATTACTACGAAATTATCACAAAATTGTCATTTTATTCCCTTGGTTTTCTTGACAAAACTCACAAATGTTTGCCAATTTGAAGTTTTCATTGCAGAGTAAGAAGCCAATGCCAGTGACTCCACAGGTGATACGTCAATCTCCACGATCGGTTGGAAATCCCGCAAAGTCTACAGAGATGAAAACCCAGCATCAAGCTCCCAAACCCACGACGAATGTCTCGAATGTGTCAGCGATTCATTCTGCGTCAATCCTGAGACGAGGTATTAAGCGTCCGTTGCAGGTGAAGAAGCAATCAATCGTCTCGAAATATCGTCGGCCTCGTCCAAAGACTCCGCCACCAGTCGCAGAATTATCACCCGAGATAAAGGAGGAAACCCTGGACATACCCCTGGGGGATTCCGACATTTTTCCGGAGACTGAACATTATGAGAATCTCATAATGTTGAATGAGGATAGCCCTCCGGAGGAAAAACCACCTGAACCCCCTGGCGATGGCCTAATGGTATCTCCTCATAACTCTGAAGACATTTCTGACGTTCAGGAGCAAATGGACATGCTGACGGATTTTTTACAACAGGAAAACAGTTTTCTAGAGAAGATGGATGCTGTGGACGATTGTAGTGGACAACCCCCTGGGAGTGAGATCCAATATCACGGGGAACCGGGTGAATTGGATGAAACGGATGGGACATTTAAGCAGAGAACCACTTGATGGAAAGAACATGATACACGACCTAAATATAAATTTTGATAAGGGTAGTTTCGATTGCTAATGAATCGAAAAAACTGAAGAACATGTCTAACAATCGAAAAAAAGTGTCGAGAGAAGTTAAACTGACCGTCTTCCATCGTCAATACCTCCTGACCAAATGATTCAATTGAAATGAGTCACATCTCATTGTAAACTTGAAAAAAATGCCTTGAAGTTGACAAAAAAATCGAAATTTTTCACTCTGCGGTTCCTGAGTTATTGACGATGGAGAGCGGTCCCTTCAACTGATTCCTCTGTATGCATCTAAAATATCAAAAGAACGAGAAACGAATGTCATTTATTTCACGATTAATAAATAATAATTTTTTTTGAAAAAGTGGCTTTAACCCCTCATTGTTGGCACCACTTGTCCGGCGCACGCATCCCCACTGCCGAGTGTTTACGTTTTCGTTCCCAACCAAACAAACGGTTCCTCAGTTTTCCAAAATCATGTGTTAAAAGTACAAAGTTCTGCGATAAATCCGCAACAATGTAAATACTAATATTAATTAATCTATTTACAATATTTATTATGAGTGAATCGGACGATACGGATATTCTCCTGCTGATTCCCCCCGACCTGTTCGCCGTGGCATCCTCAGGATCAGAAGAGAGTTTGGCCAACGGTTGTTGCTCAACCGGGAGTCAAGTGGTTTCAGGTCTCCTCGAGCAAGTGCAATCACTCGAGAGTCGTTTCAAGGGTCTAGAGTCGAAGGAAATCCCCTTCAAGACCCCTCCCATGCCGCACAAGGTTGATTTATTGACGCCCGACACTTTTAACTCGTCCAAGCTCTTCAAGAGTCCCCCCTCGGCCATCAAAAAATTTCACTCCAAACCGCACAACCACTCATCTCCCCTCAGATACGTTCCAACCACAACTTCCAGTAATGATCCCCGGGAGAAACGACATCCTGACATGTTTCCAAAGTACTACACTCGCTCCTCCACAACCTCCGAGCTCAGTAACCTCCACCTCACCGACCCCTTCTCCCCCACAAACTTTAAATCAAATAATTCGTACGACACAAACTCTCTTCTCCCAGCGTTGGACCTAAAAACCGAGGCCAAAGACTTGAATTTTCCCCGGCAAAACACCACGAGAACAGATCCCCTGGGGACGAGTGAATTCTCACAGCTACTGAACAACAGCTCTGGGAATTCACTCCTCGACCGAATGACTGACAGAAAATCCCCGAAAAAGGATCAATTCGCGAAGACGATCCGCGACATATCAAAAATCCACGAAAACTACTCGAAACTGTCGACACCGAGTGAAGCAAACACTGTCAACTCCAGAAACTACAATTTCCCGATAAACTCCGAGTACAATAGATCACTTAGCGACGATAAGAGGGCAGAAGTGGGAGTAAACACGGACTCGACGGATTTTAAAACCCAGAGGTTACTGTCGTTGACCGACTTTTGGGAGCCAGACTCATCCAAGAGTGAAGTTGAAAAATTGAGGATTAAAATTGAGGAGGAAAAATTCAGGAGGGAGCACTGCGAGAAGACAATTCAGGAGCTGCAGAAGAGGCTGTTGGAGCAGCAGGAGAGGGTTGCAGTTGCCATTGGAATCGACAAGGAGAAGAACAGTATTATCCATCAGTACCAATCGATAACCCAGAAATTGAAAAATCAGTTTCAAACTCTCCAGTCGAGCCAGAGGAAGTTGGAGGAGAGCTCAGCGCAATCGAGGGCAAGCCACCAGGTGGAGGTGGAGAGTTTGAGGAACGAAATAAAGCAATTAGGGGAGGAATTGTCGACGTGTCGATCATTGTCCCAAGAGTATCGGGATAAAGTTGATGCGGGAGTGGAGGAGAAACTTCAGTTACTGGCGACCCACGCCAACGAATTGGAGAGCTATAAATCGTTTGTTAAAACGTCGGAGGAGAGGTACGAGAGACTGAAGAGTGATTATGATAAATTAGTGGAGAAGAATAAGGCGGCGGAGGAGGCGTCGTCGGTGGCACAGCAGGATCTCTACCGGGAGAGGTTGAAGGCTGGGGAAATTAGGAGTGAAATGGCTTTGATTCACAAGGCCCTGGACACTTGCGAGGCAGAACTCACGGTTCTGCGTCAGGAGAAGGAGAATCTGCAGCTGAAGCTCAAAGAGGAGGAGAAGAGACGTGCAATTCTAGAGGGAAAGAGGAATAATATTCTGGAGGAGTTGAATGCTGCGAGGAAGTCCGAGGAAATGAGGAGGGAGGAGGCCCAGAGACTCGTCGAGCAGCAGGAGCAGATGCGGGGAGAGCTCAGGGAAATTTATCAGAATCAGGTGGACGACGTCGTCAAGGTGAAGGTGAAGGAGTTTCAGGCGCACTTGGATTCCGCTGAAGCCTCATTCAAGGCTGAACTCGAGGTGAAGCAGAGGGCAATTGCGGAGTGCGCAGCTGGAAAAATAAAAACCATCATCGATAAGCATCGACTTGAGATTAATCTGCTGGAGGAGAAGCACAAAGAGGAGAAGAGGCTTTATGAACTGAGGCTCTCTCAGAATGTCAAGAAGTCAAACTTCTTGGAGGCCAAGTTGAATGCCCAGCAGGCAGCCAAGTCCAGAATTGCCGAGCAGTTGCATTCACTGATGGAGAAGCAGTGGAAGCAGGCAGTGCAGATTATTTCCTCCGGCAATGACGCTAGTTTTGGTAATTCTGATACTTCGAGGGAAATTAGGAGTTTAATGAAGGCCAACGATTTTGATGATGCCGGGGGCATGGAGCCAGTCAAGCTCGGAGTTTCAGCGAATAAAAACTTTTTTTATTCACATCAGGAGCACGACGAGAGTCTCATTGCCTTCACGAATAATGATGAGTCGAGGGAGAAAATCAGAGACTCCAAGGATGATTTGAAAAAGTACATTAAAATGGTAAAAATTAAGTTCTCACTGTTGTTAAGTTTATTGTTGCAGTATGTTCAGATTTTGCGAAACTCGTTCTGTTCATTCGTGATAACTACTGTGTATATTTATAGATCCTCCAAATGCAAGAGTCGAAGAGTTTCTCAGGGACAAACGGCGAGAATGAGTCATCGGTTTCATCGTCTGAATGCAGACAAGTACCACGAAAATACTATACGAAAGCGGATGCTGCCTCCACCAGTGAGAAAACAGTAACTTGGCAGCAGGCAGAGCCTTCGACGGTTTATAATGCAGTATCAATGACACAAGTCGATAATAAACCATCGAAACCACCATGGAAGTGATTTGTTTCTCCTCAAAATACTATTGAATGAATATTTTCATTGTTTTTTACGAATAAAACAATTTGTAATTAATTTTACTTTTCATTCCTGGGTTATTTCATGTTTTCGAGTTGTAATTGGTGAGAGAACGGAAGCGGGGAATGATAGTGAGTATTTTTTTTTCCCATGAAGAGATAAAATTTCGTCAGACGCTGGAGGAATCCGCAGTCGTTGAGGATATTTTATTCATTCACCATGAACGTTGCGAGGGAGTTTGGGGTTTTCGGAGTTTTATGGGTGTTTTTGTGGTCGTCGGAGATTGATTTTGTGAGTGGGGTGTCGTGGAAACCACGGGAAGACAAGACCAAGTGCCCAAAAGTTAAAGGATTATCCCATTTCGATATTTCAGAAGTGAGTGGAAACATTTTTTTCCATTTTATTCACGATTGCACTGCCACAATGACAAAAAAATACGAGAAAAAATAGCATTTTCTTTGGGTTTACTCTTCTCTCTCTTTTTCTGCAACGAGCCATTGCATGCATTTTTCAACAAGTGAGACCTAAAAAATTTCTCCAATTTTATTTCTTCAGTTTGTGGGCTCGTGGAAGGTCATTCAATATTACGCCAGCTCGGAGGAAGCCCTGGCATACAAATGCATGAGAGCAGAATTATTTCTCTCCGAAGACAACGCGGAGATAACAATGAACTTCACGTACAGCTTCGTGGACGATCCCATTAATGAAAAAGTTTTTGGGAATATAACGTGGAAAATTCCTCAGTATCACGAGTCACCGGCCCACTGGGTTCACGCGGAATTTCCCTGTAAGAATATTTTATTCAAGTGTTTTCATCCTAGGGGTTTTGTTAAAATAAAATCTCGTGGGTTCACTCATTTAATATTCCAGACGAAGGGGTCTATAACACGTATGTTTTGGCAACGGATTATAATTCTTGGGCATTACTAATGCATTGTGCGGAGAAGAACAAGAGCCCGAGGTATCTCTCGAGCTTCATTATGAGCCGCAAGAGACGTCTTGGGCAAAATGTTATTTCTTATCTGCGAGAGAAGCTCCCAAGGTGAGAATTTGTTGCACTGTTACTCCCTAATAATGGGAATTTCCATATTCAAATGAACAAATTAACATCTCTTTGTAAATTCGCAATTTTAACAGAATGAAATTACAAAGTGCTTAATTGCTTTTTCAATTGATTTGGATGAAATTATAGATACGATATAGACCTCGAGTACATGTTCCCAATGGAACAGAAGGACTGCAATCACACATCAGAGCGGGCGCACACATTTGGAGCCCTTCCAATGGTGGAAGCAGCCAGAAATCGATACGAGGCCAACGAAAATGCAAATTAAATGATGAAAGTGATATCAAGTATTCTACTAATTAATAAAATCATCAGTGCCAGATGGTTAATCTGTCATATTTCTGGGCTAGTTTTATTAATTCAATTAACAACGTATTATAATAATCTTCATTCTGCTCATTTATAATTACATAATTATAATGAACTGTTTATTGTTTTTTTTTTCTTTAATTTTCTTTAGACCCGTCATCTTTCAACGTTTTATTTTTCAGTTTTAAGCTTAACTTTGTTTTTTTTTTCACCTTTTCAATGTCGTGATATAATTACGCATTTCTCTCATTACGTTGATTCACGATGTTCGTCGCTTTCTAATATATTTTTTGTTTCGTTTTGGATTTAATCGTCAATAATTTTGCATTGTTTTCCTCAACTGTCAGTCATTTTCTAATAAATCACCAGACAATGGCCGCTACAACTTATAATAAAATGTTACAAAACCATTTTATTCCGTTTTTTTTTATTTTTTGGTAATTGGATTTTTCTTGTCATTTAAAATCATTCAATTAAACTCTCATTTTCATTCACACGGCACAATCGTTTTTTTTTTTTGACAAGGTTGGTAATCACTCTTTTTCTTCCATCGTTTTTCCCCTCTCGCCCTATTTTCCGTCGGCATTTTGGTATCAATTAATTCGATAAGTGATTAATTACGCGTCTCTGAAGCCACGTGTGTAGGGCTTTTACACGATTTTTATTTATTATATGAGGTTGACACTATTTGATTTCACATTGTTTTGTCCTACCACAGATTTCTTCAAATTATTTTTACCCTTTTTTATAAAAAATTTTACTTCATCATTCAAGAGCGTCAAAAATTAATTGAGAATCTAGTTGCAGTGCTAATTGGAAAGTGCGACTTTGTTGAAAGATGTCATACCTTTTCGTTTAAATTCTGATTATCCATTAATTTTCGTTCATTTATTCATCTTGTTTATTTACGTTTTTTTTTATTTTTAGGATGTTTTGTCCTTATTTTCGAGTGGTGTTTGATTTGAATTATTCTTCAAATAAATCAGAGAGAAGCGCATAGAGTGGAAAGAAAATTCGATTAATTTACCAACTCGGGAGCATGTGATATTCCGCTCAATGCTGCACTTGACATCGCAAATTTCTTTAAAAATTTAATATACATGCATAATAGTTTCTTTTCTCTACGGTTAATCCTTCTCCAGTAATTACGATCAATATTGCGTGTTTAATTTTGGTTTTCTTTATTTTTAAATACTCCAGTTTTTCTTCCTCCTTAAATTGCTAATGATATATTATGATGAAAATGATAAAATTTCAAAATTCATTCAATAAAAAATCAAATTATAGTTACAACAGCAGATTCAAACGTCATTGATTCTTCATACGTTTTCAAAAATTTACAGTGCTTTCGTAAAATGATTGAGTATTATGCACACATCACTAATATTTCAATTTCTTCGAGCTTCATCCTCTTTGTTTTTTTTTCTTCTTAAAAAGTAATTAATTAATTTGACTGATGATTACATATCTACTTTGAAATATAATTATTGCAATTAATCAGTTCGCTACCAGACGAAGTTCTTCATTTTTTTTATCCCTTCATTCTAATTTTGTTAGTAACATGAGTTCGTGTATAATAGATATAATTATAATCAATCAATCGAGAGATTATCTTTTTATATGCTCTCGCCAAAAATTCATATATTTTAAAAAATCTCTTTTTGATTTCCATGAAAACAAATGAGCCGACAATTTTCTTCAGTCCATCGACATAATTTCCTTCCTCATTCCATCTTATTTTAAAAATCATCTCGAGGCAGCAGTTGATACCGGAAGTATTACAATAATTAGTAATTAAAATAAAGAAACCGGCTCGAAAGAATCCTTGGAAAGATGAATAATGCGAGAATGAGATTAAATTAATTAGAGTTGCAGATTGAATAGTGTACGATGTGAATTCGTGTCTGACAATATTCTTACTGGCTTCGATTCATATTTTATCATTTGTGACGATCCTTGAGAGTAATTAATTAATTAATACTTAACAATCATGAACACACGGCCACGATTGCACTACAAAGCTGTGAACAAGTGAAATACAAGAAATAATAATCATGATTTCTTGATTTCACTCGAATTCACAAAGAATTCACTGAAGTCAGCCCATTTTCAATGTTTAATTTACCTCACGACCTCAACATTTCGTCCGAATTCCCAATTCTCTGCATAAATTTCACCCCCTCCCTCACCCATCAATATTTCAACGACCAATCACCATAAAATGGGCGTAAAAAAAATTCCCCAAAAGCAAGAAAAACCCAAAGTGTTCATCTTTTTTTGTTCACAAGTTTCCCGGGGCTGTCATCACTCTTTCAATTCACTTTACCCTCGGTATTCCCTACAATTCCATGGAAAAAAAACATCTCACTAGATTTAATTTAACTAATAACTTTTTTTTGGTTTACTCTCCTCTCTTTTTCTATGATGAGCCATTGTAGTCTGTGGGATTTTTCGATGGAGACCGCTGTCAGTAGACCCACCTGACAGGCGTCCACTGCGGTGTTTTCTGTATTCGCTCGATCGCCGCTTCCAATTGGCCAATCGTCTCCTCGATATCATCATTAACGATTGTGAAATCGAAAAAATGACCGTACGATTGTTTCAGAAGGTCCGACTCCCTTCCGAGTCTCTCGAGACTGCCATCGTACTGCAATTATCAGTTTACAGATTTATTCGAGGACGAAAAAATTAATTGATGGAAATAATCAATAGTCAAGGGAAATAGTAACGTACATCGTTCATATTTTGAACCACTGGTGCGGCGATAAATACAACGTAGGGTGCAAATTCAGCTGTTCGTAAAATTTTCAATGCCTGGGGCTCAACATCCAGGATTGCCATTTTTCCCTCCTCATGGATTTTCCTAATTGTCTCTAATTTTGTTCCATACATAGCTTCCTCATGAGTTCCTTCAATATTTCAAATAACGAGGATTAATTATCTGTTTAGTTGTGTCTCGAATTTTCGACAAATATCTCATCATATATTCCGAGATATTAATTGAAAACTGACCAATAGTCAAATCGACTTCGCTAACAGAGGACTTACCGTACTCTAGATACTCATTAGCACTGATATCCGCCATCATTTCGTCGTGAGAGACGAAATAATAATTGCGACCATTTTCTTCGTCATTTCGTGGAGGCCTCGTTGTATCTAAATAATCGACCGAAGAAGTTTATTCATTAATGGATCTAGTATTTCACAAAAACAATTCGACCACTGAATTTCAACGTGAAATTATTAAATTAAATGGCTATTGAAGATACTAACGTGGAATAGGATAGGCATATTTATCAGGATGCTTGGAGATAATGGCATTTTTAATATGCCGACGACCAACACCGTGAGCCCCGAGGAGTACAAGGGTTTTGCGTTGGAAGGCTTCGTCTAGAAACAACGAGTTACGAGTTACGAGTTAAAAAAGCCCCTGAAATTTTCACTGAAAACATTGTGACAATTGAATGCAAATACTCACGAGGTACTTTAACGACCTCCTCGTAAGTGACCAGATCCAGCTGATCAAAAACAGCGTTGTGCTTGGCAAGGTACTTATCCTTATACTGTTTTTTCTTTCGGCCAAAAATTGAGCAATTGACTGGAGTACCAACAAATTAAAAAATCAATCATCCATTACTGTTATTTCAATGAATTGAGTAATGCTGCTAATAGGCTTGTTAATTCGATATATTGGGTTCATTGATAATGCAGTGCAGTTGGAAATTACTTTCATACATTTGATGCATCGAAGCACTGATATATTATTTTTGTATTATTTTATCTAGTGTATGACATGCTTGCATCGCTGGCTCTCTCGATCCTCAATAAACTGGTGAAGAAATAAGATGAGTAAAAAACACATGGTGAATGGATAAAAAATGTAAATTGATTATTAAATGGAGAAATAAAACTCACTATAGAGTGATAAAATGGAAGTGAAGTTCCAGCAGGTCACAATAAATAATAATAAAGATTCGATGCATGAGTTGAATGCGATGAGAGTGGGAGGAGAATATCGTGCCATATTTTTTTACCTAAGGGAGAGGGAGAGAATGTAGGTTGAACGTTCTGTATGCATTCATCTCGATAATTATTCATAGAATTGTTCTAATGGTGATATAAAAGTGAGGAAAAAAATATGTTAATAAATACTCCCTACGTTCTTTTTACTCTTTCTAATTTGGAAGTTATTAAAAGTTCTTTGGATTCTACTCCCGTTCTTTTGCTAAAAAATTTCTATGCCTGTGATTTTTTTTTCTCTTCTCGTTGTTTTATCTTTTCTTTAGCTGCAGGCAGAATTTTTTCGTACCTGTCGAGCTGTCACAGCCCTCGGTGTGAGGAGAACAGCCGCCCTCTCCTTCTGCATCTAAGCTCGCATAACATAGAATAATATAATCATTACTACTAATTCTCTTTTAATTGAAAAACTCTAATTTAAAATCCTGCAAATACTGGAAATCAAGCCCCTATATATTGTTGAGCTGCAATTACTCATTTGTAGTCGAATCAAATATTATCATCCCCTCATTCATTAAAATATTGACCTCTTGTCAATAGCACTGAACTGGAGTATAAATTTCGAAAAAGCTGATGATGAATTAGTAACGATTTAATGATGCATTTTGTTAGTAACGAAGTGATCACCCATGCGATGTATCGAAATGCAATCCGAGTGTTGTGAAAATTTATTACCCATCCTGTATCGTTAAATGGTTTTATAATGGGTTGATGCTTTGGTGAAAAAAAAGTGATACCAATCTCGGATTAAAGAGAAGCAGTTGAGCACAGGGTGCGATCTGCTGGAACAAGTATACCGCTCGTTATTTTATCCTATTTCCTTTTTCTTTTCAACATTCAGTTATTTCATTCAAATGAATCTGAAACCTATGAAGAAATGGCGGAAGTTGTTTGCACCTCCCCTGGGGCAATGATTCTGCAGCAAAGTGGAATGAGAATGTTTTTCTCAATTCGCTGCAGAATAAATGATTAACGCTATTGTTTTGGAGTTTCGAGGAGTTTT